GAGAGAAGATTAAGGTGATGTTTGCATGGAAAACCACCATGCAAACATGAGGTGTCACAAGCACAAAATTCCTCATTTTCCCTTTTTTTTGTCTAATAACCCTATTGGGCCGAGAATTTGGGCTAGAGGAATAAAAATGATTTGGTTTGGGCCCATTCTTGGTTTTGTTCGAATTTATGAAGCCCAAAATTATTTTTCGGCCCATTAGGCCCTTGTGAGGGTTCACGACCCAATGAAGCCCAATTAAAATGGTTTACGACCCATTAGAAATAAGAAGGATCATTCTAGGCCCACATGGCCCATAATGCTCAAATCTTAGGAATGTGGGTCAACTTAGGGCCGAATTAGGGTTCCTAGGTCCAAAATAGTCAAGTGGAAGGTTTATTGGTCCATTAGGCCCAATAAAAAAAATTCTAGTTCACAATGAACTTGAACCGGGATTTCTAGGGTTTCAACCCATAGTTGAACATATGCAATGTATTGTATTAGGTTTTAACCTTCATTCAAGAGTTTGGAATTTAAATGGATGATTTTGATTTAGCATAAAGTACAAGTTTTACAAAAGATGATGATTACATGAGAGTAGAATTTCCTAGCAAAAATGCTAGTTGTGACATCATCCCCCCGTTAGAGGGAATTTCGTCCCGAAATTCGTTCGAAAGATAGGTTCACGAATGAGAGAATAAGTGAGGGTACTTCTGCTACATTTGGTCTTCGCGTTCCCATGTGAATTCCGGTCCACGCTTAGCGTTCCATCGAACCTTCACAATCGGAATGTGGCTCTGCTTCGTACGCTTCACTTCCCTATCCATTATCTCGACTGGTTTTTCGACGAACAGGAGATTCTCGTTTATTTCGATCTCTTCCAAAGGAATGACAAGAGTTTCATCTGATAAGTACTTTTTTCAAATTCGAGACGTGGAACACGGGGTGTACATTGTTGAGCTCCGAAGGTAGCTGTAACTTATAAGTCACTGGACCAATTCGGGCAAGAATCTCGAATTGTCCAATATATCGCGGGTTCAGTTTTCCCCGTGTCCCAAAGAGAATCATTCCTTTCCAGGGAGATACTTTCAATAGTACCCGGTCTCCGACTTGGAATTCCAGAGGCTTTCGCCGTTTGTCAGCATAGCTCTTCTGTCGGTCTCGTGATGCTTGGAGTCGGGCTTTGATTTGGATTATCTTTTTTGTAGTCTCTCGAATGATTTCTGGCCCTGTAAGAGTGATGTCTGGTGATTGTCCTTTTGCTAATTGGGTGTCACCCACCTCAGCCCAGCATAGAGGCGATCTACATTTACGTCCATATAATGCCTCAAAAGGAGCAACCTTGATGCTCGTGTGATAGTTGTTGTTGTATGAGAATTCAATCAAGGGCAAATGGGTATCCTATGACTTGCCGAAATCAATCACACAAGCTTGGAGCATGTCTTCGAGCATTTGGATGGTTCGTTCGCTTTGGCCATCGGTTTGAAGGTGATAAGCGGTGCTCATGTCCAATTGTGTTCCCATTGCCTTCTGAAGTGACTGCCAAAACCGTGAGCTAAACCTACTATCTCGATCTGAGATAATAGACATTGGCACCCCATGAAGTCTTACGATCTCCTTGAGGTAGATTCGCGTCAACTTTTCCATCTTGTAAGATTCTTTTATTGGCAGGAAATGAGCGGATTTTGTTAACCTATCAACGATTACCCAGATAGCATCAAATCCGCCTGCTATCTTTCGTAATTTGGTCACGAAGTCCATAGTAATCCTTTCCCATTTCCACTCGGGTATCGCTGGCTGTTGCAATAGTCCCGAGGGCTTTGGGTATTCCACTTTCACCTTGGCACAAGTGAGACGCTTACCCACGTAAGTGGCGATCTCTGCCTTCATATTTGGCCACCAATAATGTTGCTTTATGTCCAGGTACATCTTATCCGAACCCGGATGAATGGAATATCGTGTCTTGCGGGATTCATTCATGATCATTTCTCTGAATCCCCCAAGTTTAGGGACCCAGATTTTGTTCATGAAATAGTAAGCTCCGTCTTCCTTGACTTCAAAGTTTTTGTCCATCCCACGCAGCGTTTCATTTGCGACGTTCTCCGGCTTTAATGCATCTGTTTGGGCTTCCTTGATTTGAGAGGTTAGGTGGGATTGGATTGTTATTGTTAAGGTTTTCACCCGGCGACCTGAGTATTCTTTTCTGCTCAGGGCATCGGCTACCACGTTAGCCTTACCCGGGTGGTACTTGATCTCGCACTCGTAATCATTTAGCAGTTCAACCCATCTTCGTTGCCTCATGTTTAATTCTTTTTGATTCAGAATGTGCTGGAGGCTTTTGTGGTCGGTGAAGATGGTGCACTTTGTACCGTAGAGGTAGTGCCTCCAAATTTTTAGGGCGAAGACCACAGCTCCCATCTCGAGATCATGAGTGGTGTAATTTACTTCATGCGTCTTTAGCTGCCTGGATGCGTAAGCTATCACCTTCCCGCGCTGCATGAGGACACAACCTAACCCTTGATTCGAAGCATCGCAGTAGACCACGAAATCTTCGGTTCCCTCTGGTAAGGATAGCACTGGTGCATTACAAAGGGCTCGCTTTGGGGTTTGGAAGGCGACTTCTTGCTTTTCCGTCTAGTTGAAAGACACACCCTTTTGTGTCAAGGCGGTAAGGGGTTTGGCGATCTTAGAAAATTTTTGGATAAGTACGAGACCCAAGAATTGACGGATTTCTGTTGGGGTTCTCGGGATAGCCCAGCCTTCAATGGCCTTTACATTGGAAGGATCTACGTGAATCTCTTCCTTGCTGAATACATGACCCAAAAAGTTTACACTGCGGATCTATAATTCGCATTAGGAAAGCTTCGCATAAAGTCTTTCAGCTCTTAGGGTTTCCAAGATTTGGTGGAGATGTTGACCATGCTCTTCTTTGCTTCGAGAGTAAATGAGAATATCGTCGATGAAGACAATCACAAATTTATCAAGGAATGGGCGACAGATTCGATTCATGAGGTCCATAAATGCAGTGGGGGCATTTGTTAGACCGAAGAGCATCACGACAAATTCGTAATGACCGTATCGTGTTCGAAAAGCAGCGTTGGGAATATCCTCTTCCCGAACTCGGAGTTGATGATAACCGGATCTCATATCTATTTTTGAGAAATAACTAGCTCCTTGAAGCTGGTCAAATAGATCATCGATTCGAGGAAGTGGGTACCGATTTTTGATGGTAAGCTTGTTTAATTCCGTATAATCGATGCACATTCTAAAGGATCCGTCATTTTTCTTGACAAACAAGACCGGAGCTCCCCATGGTGAGAAGCTTGGTCAGATGAACCCTTTGCTTAGCAGCTCGCTTAATTGGCTGGATAACTCCTGCATTTCGGCGGGAGTTAACATGTAGGGTGATTTGGCAATTGATGTGGCTCCTGGTATTAGGTCAATTCGGAATTCGACCTGTCTTTCTGGGGGTATTCCCGGAAGATCTTCTTGAAATATATCCGAGAAGTCACATGCCACTGGAATGTCTTGAATGTTTACTTCTTCTTTGGTCTTATCCACCACATGAGCGAGGAATGCGTAGTTTTTCTTGTGTAGACACTTTTGTGCCTTGATGCACGAGATAAGGCGAAGGTTGGCGCCAGGTTTATTGCCATAGATTATTAGGGTTTCGTGATTGGGGAGATGAATGTGAACGACCTTCTCGCAACACATAATATCAGCATGGTGGGTGCTTAACCAATCCATGCCAATTATCACATCAAAACTCCTAATATTTACTGGCATCAAGTCTATTTGAAAGGAGTGATTGTTTAGTGTCAATGTGCACCCTACATAGATATCTTTGGTTGTTTCAGTTTTCCCATTAGCCATTTCCACCGTGAAGGCTTCGTTGAGCTTATGGGGTTGTTGATTTAGTAAGTGTTTGAATTTATTACTAACGAAACTTCGCTCCGTCCCACTATCAAATAAGATGCATGCGTACGAGTTGTTAAGTGGAAACCTACGAGTAACAACTGATGGGTCCTGCACTGCTTCACCTTGACCCATTGTCAACACTCTTCCTGCAGTTCCTGCCCCCTGATTGTTTGCCTTGGGGCAGTTGCGCCGGAATTGGCCGGTTTCTCCACACCCATAACAGGTGTAACTGGCCCCAACATTGCTATTGGTGTTGTTACTGTTGTTGCGATTGTTGCTGTTGTTGTTGTTGTTGTTGTTTGATTGTTGGTTTTTTTGTAGATAAGCCCTGCAGTATCTTGCAGTGTGACCTTTTCAGTTGCAGCTTGTGCAGTGCATCTCTCTACATTCTCCCTGATGGTGAAAATTGCATTTGCTGCACTTAGGTAGGGTCCCTGAGTATTGCTTGGGATTATTTGGTGTAGATGAGGCTGGAGCATATGGTGTTGTGGTAGCTTGAGTGGCGGCATGGACAATCACAGTTTGTTGTTTCTTTGATGATTCAGAATTTTATTTTCCCTTCCGCTTGTTGTTTTTCCCCTTCTTGTTCTCACCTTCTTTCTTAACTTCCGCTTCTCCTGCTTCGGCACCCTTTTTGTTGCCATGATTGTATAATTTATTGGCCAGCCTCTTTGCACTATCATACGTATCAGGGTTTGCTGCAATTACATTCCCTTGGATTGGCGCGGTCAATCCCCAGATGAATCTCTCGATCTTCTTCCCTTCAGATGTGATCATTCCGGGACACAAGAGAGACAACTCATTAAACCTTGATGTGTACGCATCGATGTCATAGTTTTGAATCGTGAGGTTCCACAGCTCTTGTTCCATTTTATGAATTTCTCCCGTTGGACAGTATTCAGCCAGCAACATTTCCTTAAGCTCCTCCCATGGCATCGCGTTCGCCACCGGGAGTGTCATGGCCTCTACGTGACCATTCCACCAGGAGAGAGCTTGATCAACGAATGTGCAGGCCGCAAAATTGACCTTGCACCCATTCAGACATCCACAGATTTCAAATACTAATTCCACCTTCTCTATCCATCGTTTCAGGGTTATTACGCCTCCCGTTCCATTGAAGGTTCGAGGCTTGGCGTTGGTGAAGTCTTTGTAGGTGCAGGTTCTTGTGGTTTTCGTGGTTTGTTCCCTGATTTGTGCTTCCGGTTCCCTGCCCGTTGTCTTATCCGTGGTTTCCGCTGTGAATCTATGCAAGTGCTGCAGTGACCGCAGCGGACACTGCTGCTTGGAATGCAACTGAGTTTATTTCTGGTGGAGTCGGTGTTGTGTTGTTTCCACGGTTTGGTCTTTGAGGCATCTTTCTGTCATAGAACGAAAAGACGTTGAGTATCCAATGTATTTAGTTTCACGATTTATTGGTTATAACACAGTGTCAGTGACTGGGTTGTGTATAAGTGAGTGAATGCATACAATCAACATGTAGTAAAAGCAATTGAACACATAGCAAATCACAACATCACGATAAAATATATATATATCATTTCCACTAGTCATAACTGTTTTAATACAGGGAAAATTTGCCAAAAGGCATACAGTACATGGGGAAACATATGATCCGACAGCATGACAAACCAATGAGTAGTGTAATCACTTAAGCATATGGTCAATAGTACATAGAATAATACATAAAAAGGAAATCATAATGATAGTACATGAATGGGTACGAGCCGCGATGGGGTGGGTCTGTCAACGATATCATATGCCGAAATGTCGTGCGACAAGATCAGTTATCTCGGCCATCTCCCTGACTACCTCGTCTCTCTCGTGCTCGGCCTGAACAGCTCGGGCCTCTGTCGCTAATAGTTGTTGCCGAAGAGTGGCAACCTCCTCCTCTAAGGAGTGAGTCCTATCCACGAGATCTCGTGGCACTGTGGAGTGATATTGTACTGTCTCGGAAGTGGGAGGTTCACTAGGGACTTCATTAGTATCTCTGCCCTCCCCCGCGACCTCATCGAATTCTCCAAACTCATAGTCCATCTCCATGTATTATTCGGGCCCGACACTGGGGGCTGCCTCCACCACGGGGTCTTCCTCAATTATATCGTGGGACACTAGGTTCTCGCAGAAAAGAACACCCTGATGTGCTCCATCCATGGCGACTGCGCGATAAACTGGGAGTGAGAAGTGTGTAAAGGGAGTGTGTATGTATAGAATTTCAAAATACTCCTATAGTATTTTAATTACTTGTGTTTGAGTTCCTGAGAAGTTTTGGATACAAGGTAGGCTTCTAGGTCCATTTCCCGCCATGATTACCCCCAAACACATGTTGGTCATATTTTGAATAAATATAGTTGATCACACTATATTTATCCCCAATATGACTACATAACTGCCCGGGTTTAACCACAGTGTTCCATTTCCTCCAGAGAATTTTAGTGTTATAGTTTTAATGTATACCTAGGTATGCATTTTATTTAGAGTGTTTTAGTCCCATTGTATTTATAGTTGCATATCAGGTATGATTAGATATGCCAGTTCACTATAAACAATGTTCTTATACCAATCTGTCACACCCCCGAACCAGACGGCGGAAAACGTCCGGGGGCTTGCGCGTGACTTCATCTTGTAATATCATCACAATGTAAATAATTGAAACAAGACAACACCATCATCATACATGTCAAATACAACCAGCATTGTTTACATCAAGTATAGTATAGTATCAAAAATTACATGCCAAAATATTTAATGTATGATGATAACAAAATATAACGAATTCCACCATTTTCTGCTGACCTTTCTGCTTAACGATTCCTTGAGAATACAAGTTATTTTGAAAAACGTCAACATATATAATGTTGGTGAGTTCATAAGCATATTTGAATGAAAAGTTTTGAATTGTTTGTAAACACCAGAAAATCCGATATTTTCTTAAAATGGTTTGAACGTGATGTATCAAAATCAAGTATTAATGCATGTGTGTTTTCTGTATTTGGAATGTATATAGAATGTAATCCAGATAAAAACTCTGTATTTTCTGTAGCAAGTAAAAGGTATGGTTTAACTATGTATTACCCCAGAAAATCCTATATTTTCTGTTTATAAAAGTGTTGTGGTCTCAACCCTAAGACCGAATATCAGTGTGTGTATGTTTTTGTATCAACAAGATTTCATAGGTGTTCCATAAAATTATGTTGGAGATGATCTCTATGTGAGTCATTACAGCCATGCTTGATAATGACTAATTCGCCTGTCATGGCGTCTGTCGGACGCCGGTTGGTTGTAGGTAAGGTTTGTCACCCTAGACTGGCCTAGTCTAGCTGTAGCGAACAGCTCAGGTGTGGGGTGTCACCCCGTATAGATCTATACACAAACTCTTGCTCCCCCTCCAGGAGACTATGGTTATAACTACATGCTACGATCATACACTCTAAGGTGTCAACCGACATGTCTCACTAGATCATTAATTGTTTTCACGCGAGTATTGAATTACGCTATGTATAATGTTTTCGTATATATAGTTAAGATTTGCAAAGCCCAGAAAAAAAAATATGTATATGAATGTATAAGGCCCAACAGACATGTAATGGAGCAGCTATGGCCCACTAAACATGTGATGTATAGACTGGGCCCAATAAGCATGTTAATGGGTCACAAAGGCCCAAATTAACATGTAAAAAGCATATTAGGCCCAACAAACATGTAAATGGGCCACAAAAGCCCAAATAGACATGTAATGAATATATTAGGCCCAATATCATGAAATTACATTTATGGCCCAAAATATATATAAAATATTATTTTCGGCTCATTGTTGTAAAGATTTACATTTTCAGCCTATTTTTAAATAAAATGACACTTTTCGACTCAAGTGTTATAAAAATGACATTTTCGGCCCATGATTATAAAAATTTACATTTTTATCTCACTTTTCATAGAAATTACGTTTTTGGCCCAAGTTTTGGAAAAATTGCATTTTTAAACCCATGAAACCGTAGGTTTACATTTTAGACTCAAACTTGAGTTAAATGACAATTTACTCCATAAAAATCGAGATTTTTACAATTTAGGCCCAATAAAACCGAAAAGCCCTTTTTTATGGCCCAATATACAAAAAATTGCATTTTTGGCCCTTCTATTCCCAAGAATATCATAAAAACTCATTTTTGTATAAAAGAGACTCTTTTAGTCTTTGTAAAACCGAAAGTGTCATAAAAATCTCATCTTTTTGTTTATTTGTCAAAAATGGCCCTATTTCAAGATTTTGTTTCATTTTTCCAACAATCATCACATATGTACACTTTCATTCCCATGTTATGGTGTGTAAAGTGTTATAGTTTGTAAATTTCACAATCTTTTGTTATAGATTTCTAGATCTATCATATTTCATCACATAATCACAACATAAACCAAGAAAATCACACATAACATGCACTAATACATAGATCTACACATATGTACTTGTATTCTCCCCCCAAAACTAAGTAAAACCGAAAACAAGGGGGTATGAACTCACTTTGAGGTTTGGATTTGGATTTGATGAATAATGAAGTGAAGATCTCGGCCCTAGCAAGCTCCTTGAGGGGTTTTTCGAACTCTATGAAGTTTAAGAGTATAGATCATGAAATGTTATGGGTTAAGAAGAGATTTTTGAAGAAATCAAGAAGCTAAACCATAGATCCAAGTAAGAACTTCCCAAAGATGATGATCTTGATGAAAAAACTTCTTCAAAATACCCACAAATCTCGAAAAATTTAGAGGAAGGAGGAGAAGTTATTGAGAGTGTTTGAAGGTGTTTGAAAGAAAAAATGGAGGTGGTGTGGTGGGGGTTTCGTCCGAGGGTGATAAGAAGAGGGGGAGAGAAGATTGAGGTGATGTTTGCATGGAAAACCACCATGCAAACATGAGGTGTCACAAGCACAAAATTCCTCATTTTCCCTTTTTTTTGTCTAATAACCCTATTGGGCCGAGGATTTGGGCTAAAGGAATGAAAATGATTTGGTTTGGGCCCATTCTTGGTTTTGTTCAAATTTATGAAGCCCAAAATTATTTTTCGACCCATTGGGCCCTTGTGAGGGTTCACGGCCCAATGAATCCCAATTAAAATGGTTTATGACTCATTAGAAATAAGAAGGATCATTCTAGGCCCACATGGCCCATAATGCTCAAATCTTAGGAATGTGGGTCAACTTAGGGCCGAATTAGGGTTCCTAGGTCCAAAATAGTCAAGTGGAAGGTTTATTGGTCCATTAGGCCCAATAAAAAAAATTCTAGTTCACAATGAACTTGAACCGGGATTTCTAGGGTTTCAACCCATAGTTGAACATATGCAATGTATTGTATTAGGTTTTAACCTTCATTCAAGAGTTTGGAATTTAAATGGATGATTTTGATTTAGCATAAAGTACAAGTTTTACAAAAGATGATGATTACATGAGAGTAGAATTTCCTAGCAAAAATGCTAGTTGTGACAGTTGCGATCGCATTTTTTCATTTTTCTTCTCCCAGATGAATTTTTGGCATGAAAAAAACCTCGAAGACAAGTTGCGAGCATACATGCGATCGCATGGACAAGAGTTGCAATCATATGTTTTGCCTAAGTCATCCGAAATTTCGTCTAGTTTTCAGAACATTTTGAATCTCATCAATCGGAGTTATGGTTCATGAGATATGGTCAAAATATTGACAAGGAGTCAAAGTTGCCAGCAGAATCCTTTAGCTTAAGATTGTAGAATCTTTTTTCGTGCGATCAATTCGATCGAATGTTTCTTGACCAAAACAACTTCCAATCATTCCTCAGAATCCTTCATAAGTTATTACTCCATTTTAAGCTCCAAACACGCATCCAATTGTTCCTAAAGCACTACTCCACTCGAAATATCTGAAATTGACATACAAACATGAGCAGTACGAGAATTCTAACTAAAGACATGAGCTGAACATTATTTATAGAGATGACATGCAAATGAACAAAATATGATGCTAAAATGATAATAAAAACTACCCTAAAAGATGCACAAAATGGCATCTATCAAATCTCCTCAAGCATAAACCTTACTTGCCCTTAAGTAAGAAAAAGATAAAACATTATAAACAAATGGAAAGATGTAGATGACCTAAAAAGAATTTAGAATAAAATAAAGGAAAATAAAAAATACTTCACTTTCTTTTTTTATATATATTTTTTTATACGATCAGACTTTACATCGAGGGAATTCCAATCACTACTACCTAGACAACCATCTTGCTACATTTCATGTATCATAGACTCCCAAAGCGAGGAATACCACAAAACGGTGTAACCCAATAGTCCAGCCATAGTTTTATTTAAACTTTACACCTTAATTAGCTTTGTGAACAAAAATAACACAGTCTAGGATCTCATGTCCTTAAGACTAGATAGTCAAGAACTAGTATCAACGCATCCTTAAGAACCCGTCACGGCAAATCAACTTTCGCTGAAGCAGTGGGTGACACCCGTAAGGGCCTAGCTCCTATGCTTTCACATTTTCGAGAGCCACCAATATCACATCACACAGTTCTTCATAACTTTGAGATGACTTCTGATTTGATTGAACTTGAATTTGTATCTTTGTTTCTAGATTGAGTTCTTCAATCAACTTTTGAATTTCTTGAGATTTATTCGATTAAGTGCTTGAAATTTTGATTTGGGTACTGGATATGACAGTTGTACCCTTTCTTCCTTCTTGACTGTGTGGATCTGATATAAGGGTTCTCTGTACCGCAAGGGTAACGCGCGTCAACAAATAGGTCTAAGTTCTGTAGGTCCAGAGTTGTCGATAAAAGCTCTTTTTTACTGGATTATTATATATTAATAAATATTATTTATAATATATAATATTTATATATTAATAAATATTAATTTATTATATTATTAATTTCCTTTAATTTATTTTTATTGGTTTAGTTCTTTTGTTTTTACAACACCACCATCATCCTAATTTATTTTAAAAAATTTCATCCATCCCACCATTATCAGACATAAACTGGGTCAAAAATCACACGTTGGGTTAAAAAAAACT